AAGTTCTACCCAACAGAATTGCCAGAACATAGTCATCAGAGGACATGTACCAGGGTGTCCATAGCAGCACCCTTTGTAATAGTCCCAAATTGGAAAGTACCCAAGAAAAATAGATAATTAAATTGCAGTATATTTGCAGAAAGGAATACTATACAGCAATTAAATTGATGTGCTATATGTAAAAATATGGATGAATCTCACATGGTGGGAAAAAAAGCTAGCCATAAAAGATTATCTACTGTATGATCCCACTCATATAAAGTTTAAAGACATGTAAAACAACTCTATGCTGTGAGAGGTGAGAAGAGTGGCCCCCTTTGGTAATGGATACCTCCCAAGGGGTCTTGGGGGCTTTCTGGAGCACTGGTTGTATTCTTCCCCCCCCCGCCCCCCACTGGTTGTATTCTGGTTTTTAATCAAGATTCTAGCTACATGGGTGTGTTCAGTTTGTGAAGATTCATCAAGCCATACACTTTGGATTTGTGTACTTTTTCTGTGTGATTGTTATCGTTGCATAAAGCATTCAATCCAAGAAAACCCCAAAAGGCCAAAACAGTATTTAAGCAAAGACTTGTCAGCCAGTCTAGTGCTCTGGAAGGCACCCTCAGTGGCTGCTTCCTGCTGATGCCAAATATGGGCCCTTTGTCCTGTAAGTGAAAATGTAGAAGACCGTCTCTTCTTTCATCATCTCTGTCCCCCTGGCGTAGTGCACGTTTGAATGTTTGAGGGGAGGGCTGGGCTAGCAGGTCTGTCCCTGCCTCTGCCTGCCCTGCCCCTCACATCCTTGTGCACAGTGGGGACGGTTGTGACATCTAGGCTTTGCTGTCTCCTTTGCAGAACATCGTGGCTGTGGGAGCCGGGTTCTGCGACGGCCTCCACTGTGGAGACAACACCAAAGCTGCCGTCATCCGCCTGGGACTCATGGAAATGATTTCTTTTGCCAGAATCTTCTGCAAGGGTCAGGTGTCCACAGCCACCTTTCTGGAGAGCTGTGGAGTAGCCGACCTGATCACCACCTGCTATGGAGGGCGGAACCGCAGGGTGGCGGAGGCATTTGCCAGGACTGGGAAGGTAGCCCCTTGTCTGCCCTGCCACCACCCCCTTCCTCACTGAGGCTCCT